GTTAATGTTTTAATAATATTAAAATGTTACTAAAACATTGGCGTAATATAATATTGTACAAAGAAATAACCCAGCAAACACAGAATATAACTGTTATATAACATAAGAATAACATATAATATAACATATGTTATACTCTAGTTATATAATGAGGTTATATAATTTAGTTTCATAGTTGTAATATAATTATGTTATATTGGGTCTGGGAAAAAGTGACGTTTTTCCCGATAGATGGCGTCAATTAACTCAGCGGCAAATAACTCAGGAAACATAGATCGCAGCGACGTGTTATTTTAAGCAGTTATGAAATCAATTTTAAATTGAATAGATTTTCCCGCTCTTTTGTGATTATGCAATGTTGACATATAGCTATTAAAAAGAACATATAGTTTGGCGAAAGGCCCAATATAACTTTCAAAAGTATTCAGTTCAGTACAGTCGAAAATGGCAACAGATAAGGTGCATATCCGACACTGCATTCTTTACGAATTCCAACAAGGAAAAAATGCTGCAAGAGCGTGCGAATCGATTTGTTCCTTTCTCGGCGAAGATGTTGTATCGTACGATGTGTGCGCATTTTGGTTTAAGCGGTTTAAAAACGGTAATTTCAGTCTAATCGACAAACAACGCCCTGGAGGCCCTCTGAAGTGCGATAATGATGATTTAGAACAACTGCTCGCTGAGAATTCGGCACAAACACAAAAAGAGCTTGCAGAGCAGTTGGGAGTAACGCAGCAAACGATTTCCAAACGCCTACATGAGATGGGAAAGATCCAGAAAGAAGGAAAATGGATGCCTAACCGCATGAACTCACTGAAACCAACAAAAATCAACGAGTGGCAGCGTGTCTTTCTCTTCTCAATAAGCAGCATCGAAAGCAGCTTTCTTGTGGAAAATCGTTACGGGCGATGAGAAATGGATACTCTATGACAATCCGAAACGCAGAAAGTCATGGGTAAATCCCGGCGAATCATCAAAATCGGTCGCAAAACCCAATCGCTTCGGAAAAAAGGTTCTTCTCTGCATTTGGTGGGATATCAAGGGCGTGCTTTATTATGAGTTGTTAGAATCGGGTGAAACAGTTACTGCGGACTACTACCAACGTCAATTAATCTGCTTGAGTCAAGAATTGGAACGAAAACGTATACTGGCATAGGAGAACGTCCAGTGAAATTGTTGCATGACAATGCCAGGCCACACATTGCTTCCAATACAAAAGACACCATAATGAGTCTTGGCTGGAACGTCTTGCAGCATCCGGTTTCACCAGACATTGCTCCATCTGATTATCACTTGTTCCGGTCGATGCAACACACCTTGTCCGATATACACTTCCAATCAGTGGATGAGATCCGAAAATGGTTTGACGACTTTATTGTGTCTAAAGACGTAACATTTTTCCGAGATGGAATTCATCAGCTGTCTGAAAGATGGCTTAAAGTTATAGAAAGCAACAGCGAATACTTTGATTGAACAATTTAATTTACTTTCTTTTAAAATAAACCTTGAATGTAGCTGAAAAAATTGGATTATTCATTTGTACACCTAATACTAAATAAGTACATAGTATTTGCGATGATATATTTATTTCTAAATTTTTTGTTGAATATGTGTTATTTGCATCTTCTAAATCATAAATTAAATTTTCCATTGCGCTTTTTGAGTCAAGTGACCCAACAAGACGGTGATTTTTTTACTCATGAAGAGAAAAGAAAACTGACAAAAAGCAAATGATTATTAACATTAATTAAGAGAGGACAAAATAATAGCAATTACGTAATCAAAAGAATTTAAATTTTGAGTTATTTCATAAAGAGGAAATTTGAAGCATTTTCCAACAACTTGGTCAAAACTAATCACAATCAATTTATCAGAAAGTGTCGTACAATGAAAAATTACTATTTGGGAAGACTGTATTAAAGTGTGGAAAAAATTTTCCACGTTTTGGAAACGTTTTAGTACAAGCCGATATTCATTATCAAGTCTAATAATATTTTGAATACAAATACTATAATCTTTCAGAATTATCGTATCATCCTTTCCATTCAATGACAAAGAAAATATTTCACAAAATATCTTTCGATATTGAAAGCAACACTGAGTAAAAATTCCAGGTGTAGGTCCTCTTCGATTCCTTGGGGAGCGTCGTCCCCGCCGTAGGGCACGGCGGGGCGGTGCTTCCCAGGGGTGGGAAGCGGGCCCGAGGTGACACCGGCCAAGGAGCCGCCACTGATTCGTCAGGGGCCTCCTCGGCCGCCTCGGGCCCGCCTCCGAATACGTGGAGGGGGAGGGGCGACGAGTGTCTAACCCGTCTCCCCCGAGCGTAGGGACCGGGAAAGAGGAGTGGAGGCTTGGTTAGGGCTAGGCCCCACTCCCTGCCCTCTTGACGAGCAAGGGGGCTTGGAGGGAGGGTGGGTATCCCCCCTCCAGTAAATATAACCAGAAGGCCAACCCGGCCGGGCAACTGGACGGGAGACCGCGCCCCCGACTCTCTTTGTGGCAGGGGGTGCGGTATTTGGGCGTGGGGTTCTGATAACAAGCTCTGGGGCCGGGGAGGGAATACGGGAGTAGTTCCCCTGACTCCCCCCACCATGGTCCGAAAGGTAGATGCCCCAGTGGGATTTTAGCCGGTAGGAGTCCGGCATAACCCCCGCCCTTCCTAAGGGGCGGAGGTATCCATAATGGATTTCCCCACCGTTATAAAAAAAAAGGTCCTCTTTGATGTATGCCAGAAACTTTAATAATATTTTTAGGTGATGCATTATATTGGCGGTGGAATCTTTGTTCCTCATAACGCCTATTATTTATTTGCTGCAAATGATGATTTGGCTTTCGACAAATTTTTTTTAAATATCTCATATTATTTTTATATGGGAAGGCTGAAAAAGAATCCAAAAGTCCATAATTTTTAACATCATTACATAAATGTAATAGACCATGAACATCATACGAAACGAATTCAACACCATACTATTTAGGAGCTCTTTTAACGAAAATTTTCAACATCGTTTCTGCTTTATTAATAAGTGCTGCATCTTTACATGAGGCATCGTCTACCAAAATGCGAATTGCAGAATGTAATAGTAGGAAGTGCAAATACATAGCTTCATTTAAAAGGTCAACAAAAATAATAGGACCGGTATATAATAAAATTTGACGATGCTCTGTAGCCTTGAAAGTACGATGTTTTGCTATATCAATTGGTAGTCTTGCAAATTCTTTTAGACAAAATTGTTTAGCTAACTTCAATCTATCAGAAAGAATTTTTAGAGGCAGGTGAAAGTTTTGCAGAAGAAGCATATTTTTTATTGATAATAGCCAAGAACATTTTATCCCTAACACCAAGGCAAACTAAGTACATATAATCGAAAACAGTTTGTTTTACTAAATTTATAGAAAGATGTGCGATAGATCCTTCTTCATTATGATGCTCTCCATCTAAACATATATCATATTCTTTGCTTGTTCGCAACCTATGATCTACATCAAGATATACCATAACACCTTGGCGAATACTTTCTCTTGTGATCCAATGCTTGGAACATGGAATTCTAGATTTATGACCTTGATGTTCTAACACAAAAGCTCATGCCACTGTATCTGCGATTAAACAACAAATACTAAATGTAACTTTTTCCCATTAAAAGTTATTCCTTTATTATTCTTGTAGCACATCATCAACAAATGGTCTTAATAACTCAGTAGCATTTGTAGGTTTCGAGGATCCTTTCCAAACACCTATAATTTCTAGCTTACTTCCATAAATGTTAGCAATTCTGATTTGTATAGGATACAGTTGAATTTTACTTGCACTATCTAAAGCGGCACTATCTACATGGAAATCTATCTTTAAATTATTCGGGATGATATCTAAAGATATAATTTTAAGAATAGACTGAATTCCTTTCTCGAAACCTAAATGTAGATACTGTCCTCCAGCAATGTCAATAATATTACATGGTGTACGAGGTATATTCATAACTGTTCTTGGATCACAATGAAGTTGTGAAAAACAAGAATGAGTCCTGAGAAGTTGCAAAATCTCTTTTGCTTGGACATGGTTAATACGTGTTTTTAGAAACACATAAGCAAGCTCTTCCTCGAAATTTCTTTCTACACCAAGAACTAAAGATTCCTCAATTTCAGATTTATTTTTCTTCTCATTTTCCACATTATTATAACTTGTTCGAGAAGACTTGTTAGTAAGTTTTACATTTCGAAATTCCTGCCTTATGTAAAAGTTAGTTGAATCATTCATTTTAGAATTACATGCAACATTATCTGATTTTAAAAGTACTTTTCTATCAATCATCTCTTTACGCGAAGTATTGTTCGAAAGAACAATTTGAAAGAAAAATTATTCGAGCTAACCTGTACTTATACCCAGTCGAAATTTTATGAATAATTTTACGTGAACGAATTTTTGCAATTTGTATATTTTTCAAATGAATGTGAAACAATAAATAAATATAAACAAAAATAAAACTTACTTTAATTAAATTTTTAAATAATATTGGCTAAAGAATATCGGCTTGTATTTATATCATGTCCGTTATACATGCGAAAAGAAATAAAGGCGAATGGTCTGTTCCTTTTCGCTGTACAACGACAGAAGCGCGCACTGTGAGATCATCATGCAAACATTTTGTTATCGGGGTGAATTACATGTCGTGACGGTAACATGCAAACTTTATCGATGCAAGACAGTACGGTGGCAGCATATTTCTTGCTCGATGTGCTTACCACAGCATGCACTAACGTGCTGACACGCTTTGTTATCGGGGTAATTAAAAATGTATTATTAAAATTGAAAAACTACAATAATGTATGTATGTTATTATTCTTCTTTAATCATAGCTCGAAAGTTTCTTTGCTATTACGAAAATAATTTAGAGTCAACCATCTTTATTATTACTTCATTGGTAATATGCTTTCTAATCGACGGTTGATAAAATGTGAATCGTCGTATATTATCTACAATAAAGTGACGCGAGCTTCGACCACTTAGATGAGACTCATATGGGTCAGTGAAATGTCAGTGAATAATGTGAACAGTGTACGAGTGGTATATGAGCGGTACGTACAGAAGATGTGAATAACAAGCGGTAGTGATGGATGACAATAGAAAAATAGGAATCACCATCAAAACTAGTTAAGAAAACCGATTGTAACTGATCGTCGCGATAAAGTGATGGCGAGTAACGACGATACAATCAGTGATAGTAGTGAGACAGTAACCATCGACCAGCTTTTTTAACGAATGGCGTTGTCCAAAGTGTGTAATCAGACATCTATGATTCTCGGCGATAATGCTTTCGCCATCGTTGGCAAGGTAAGGTTTTCTTTAAAAACCTCTTTCTCTCCCCTTCTCACTCTCTCTCTCTCCCCCCTCTCTCTCTACCTCTCTCTCTCCCTTTCCCTCTCTCTTTTCCTCTCTCTCTTTCTCTCTCTCTCTCTCTCTCTCTCTCTCTTTCTCTCTTCCCCTCACCCTCTCCTCACCCTGTCACACTTCTTTCATCAGATTAAAAGACAACGAAGTCTTGTTTGGCGTTTCATTAAATATTATATCAAAATAGTATTGGGTTCCTCCTACTTAGCTGCACTATGTTACATTTTCTGCACCACAAATGACACAAGTACAGTAAGTTGAGAAAGTTGTCATACTATTCATCGTGTTCTCTCCATATTTTTGTTTCCATAGGAAAGACAAATAATGCGGCAAAGTATTTCGTCGGGAAATATTGTTTTCATACGCACGTTAGGAACAGAAATTTTTATTTAGTAATATCTGTCTTCATATAGAATTGTATTAAAATAATAAGAACGGCGGTACCAATATCTTTTTTATCTGTTGTGTACATATATTCGGGAGAGGAAAGTGCAGGAAAGTACACAGAAAGTGCTGTCTAATAGGAACAGAATTCTTGTGTCGTAAACCTGAGAAAGAAGGGAGAAGGGTGCGATCCGCGTTTGTTTGAAGCTGCACCGAGCGAGTGAACGAAAAAACGTGAATATAAGAAATCATGCTTCGTGTATTTCTCACATTCGTCCGCAAGAATGCAAATAGTGATGGTATAATATCTGCGCTTATCCTTACATTCGTCTCGATCAGCGTGTGGGTGTATTCGAGTGTAGCGAATTTGCCATAGGCATAGCCACGATCATAACGTAGCTTCAACTTTTCTTACTTCGTTCGATTTCTCGGTTATTGGGATTTTTATTTCGTCAGCACACGTCGCATGTCTCGCATCTTTTACGTCGTTTAATATTTTCATGTAATAAATCGACTGTTCTTTCCTTTCGTTCGCGTCGTTCGAAAACAATCGACAGATTCTATGCTATTTTATATGGTTGAATACATTTCCTATAATAATTGTCGCTAAATAAATAATATATATTATTCAAAGGCTTTTTCGATGCTAACAGTCGTGACATTCGAAGTTTAGTTAATCGTAAACTATCAGCTTTACTAAATTATTGTTGACGACACTAAATTACTGTATATTTTTGTTTTATGGATTACCCAAGTCCACTTGTCATTTACAAGAATTTTATATCGACAATTGTTCTCTATACAGAATAACGAGATTGAACATAGTGTCAATATGTTGGATGTACCACGGAAAATATATTCAAGGGACTTGCATGGTTCAGAATATAATCATTGGAGTTACGACTTAACAGACTACAGCACAAAAAGAAATGTAAGTAATATAGATATTTAATAAATTTTGTGCTAACTTTATAGAATGATAATGCATAATGTTGTTGCTATAACAATATTGTCAATATGGTTGAGTTTTCAAAATGCCAAAATCTGTTTAGATGAATACTGAAGATGATGATAGTCAGGATTTAAATAATTCAATGGTTAATGATCTGGTGTCAAAGATCCTTGATGAAGATTCCATGACCATTGATACTTTTCGCAATAGTTATAACAGCAGAAATTATCAAACTGCTGAGTTTGTTAACTCTTATCCTAATCAAATTGGAGATAGTCTGAACAGTTATTTGAGTGATGTGGTAGATCACTTAGAAAGTCGTTATCCATGCGGCAAATTAACAAACAATACCTATAACAATGTTAAGAGTGAATACCATCGTACAAACAATCTTTGTAATGATTTTAATATATTGAGTCTGAATACACACATGGGGCAATCAACAGAACAAAGTAGTGCCAGCAGCAATGAACTTCCACCAAACACATATTCATCTGATACACGGGCACATGTTGTACATTCGAATGATGGGAATATATACACAAATGGAAGCAGTATGCCACTGTGTAACGATCTGCTAACAACTATCACTACAAATGAAATCAATTACAGCAAACAGTCTGGTAGTTGGACAGAGCCCTTAATGACGCCTTCAATGGGGTGCAACAGGAGTGAGTTAATGGGAAATTACTCGAGAGTTCCAAGTTGTGCTAAACCGGATCTTAATTTCAATGTGGCGTTAACCCTCGCCTTGGATTCATCGAACTCGACAGTTCCTATTAATGAGCTGGAGTATCACAACAGCTTGAGACACAATTGTACGCCATCTAACTCATATGGCAATCAATCTATGATGAACATGCATGATATGTACAGTATCAGCAGTAACACCACTCAGAGTTTTGGATATAGGCCGAACTCGGCGATGACTGACCTAAACGCCGAATCTGTTTTCCTGTCAACTTCGCCATCACATTTCTCACCTGCCGACACAACGACTCTACATACTTGTTTTGGCAGCAATATACAACGTAACGACATCAGCGATTTTGCCAAGGAGGCTCACGATACCGCTCGATTAAATATGACAAGTATCAGTAACATACCTAATGAACAGATGATTCAGTTCTTGCAGCCGCAGACTCGTAGTAGCTACAAATTGGATCAAGCTGTGGACCAAGATTATAAAACCTTAATCGATTACTATTCCCCTGGTATAACTGGTACAAATAATTTTATCGCATCCTTGACTAATAACCTAGACACGAATGAAAACGTCTGCCTCCCTAGTGACTGTAGGATCGATAATAATTTATTGAAGATAATCAGTCCGAAATCAAAGGCTGTTGAAGCTAAACCGTATTCGCCGATAGGATTTCCAAAGAACTTAAGTTCGCGTAATTTGTATCAGCCTATGGCTAAATATGGTTGTCACAGTTATCAACAATACACTGCCAGCAGTGGCGGCGATACTCTCAAGATATTGCCACAAAACTCGGCGTTTTATCACAACGACTTAAAGCAGCCTAAATTAAATGCATATAAACTGGATGGATATGATATAACTAAAGAGATGGCCTTTCCCTCGGCAGGTCATCTGACTGATTGTATCGCAAGTTCCACATTAGACAAGGACGCAACCTTTGGTCACATCATGAAGCAACATCATATGTCAAAAATACAGAGCATTCCCGCTGGGATCCCACCGCCGGATATTATTTTCAATTCGAGAATGATATCGGGTGCAAATACTGTAAGATCGGGAACATTCCCGTCAGTGATGCCAGTCCCAGTCCCTGTTCCGCTTCATCCCGTACCACGGCTGTTCTCCACGCTTTACGGAGGAAGTTTAAGTTTTAGAAACAGCATTAGTGGTGCAGCCAGAAAGACCGGTCCCTCGAGTATATTGCATTTCAATCTCGAGCAAACGTACGAGCAATTCAAGCAGCTGGAGAAAGAGCGCAAGAAGTGCGAGGCCGGATTAGCCGCTCACTTTCCAGGGAAACGAGTAACTAGCGCAAATAACATACCTATCCCACGTCCTCAAGGAAATCCGTCTAGAGTGGATCGCTTGGTAATCGATTATTTGAGAGAGCACGCTCGTGTCATTACATTAATAGCGAAGGTAAATAAACAATTGTGTCTGCGAAAATATATCTTTATCTGTACTACTTTATGTTTTATTTGTATTACGTAAGCACTATGCATTATAAACTTACCTTCTACTCCACTACTTTTATTTGACTTTACTGTGTTATGTATACACTGAATGGAGTGAACTGCTTGTTTTTCGTTCTCGAAAAAAATCTCTTATAAAAAGAAATTATTTCTTCTCTATCAAGTATTTTCTATTTCTATTTTGTTGTTCTTTAACTTTTTTTTTAAGAATAGTTTTTCATTGTCATAGTTTGTCGCAGTTTTATCTTTTAATCGTATCTTGTATATAATTTGCATATGTATATACTTATACAATTGTATAAGTATATACATATACTTATACAATTTTTCACTTTGTAATGGAACAGATGGAACGCTTACGTGGGACTACGATGAATCAACGTGTGCACAAAGCTATGGAACATTGGCTGGAAGCTATCAAATTTGTTCAAGATTGTCGCAAGCAAGAAATCACAAATGCTATCAAACGTCAAAAAGAGAATCCTCATTGCATTTTAGCGTATGACGACAATGGTGAGTGTAGTGGGAAAGTAGTTCACGTTGAATTTGCGCGTGAATCATTGATCGTAGTCCTTTTAGTGCAACTGTAAATTTGAAAATTATAAATTTGATATAACATACCATTATGTTGTTACCGTTATATGTTTTTAACATATTTGTGCGTACCTAGATATTTTGACTTTGGCTGGAAGCGTGCACGCATTGACGAAAGCATCGCGATACGCGCGAACCGGTATGTATAACGCGCTCCAAGCTACGCTACTTTATGATTTGGACGTGGAGAAGAAGGTCGTTGAGACTTCCAAGGAACCGGTGCTCGAGACTAGATACAGCGAAAGTCAGCTAAAAGATGGAATCAACGATTATTCAAGCAATACCTAGCAAAATTGCGCCGAATCCATATCGTTCATCTTGAAACGCTAAAAAGAGGCGAATTCAGCAGCTTTTTACTTACGTATAGTATTACGTTTATGAAAAGCGTACGCTGGTGTTTACGTGATTATTTTATCGTTGAAACAAAATGCCGCCCATTAAATTCAAAACTTTCACTCGCGATATGTGAGAAGAATCGTTATATGCGAGAAAAAGAAGACACGCACGTATACAGACACACATACACACACACACACACGACACACACATAGAAAGAACTAAAGTGTAAAACTCGAAAACGTGGAATGTGCGCAACTTTTTACAGATTATTAATAATTCCGTAGTTTTCTACGTATTTTAACGCTTATCGGCGGTGCGATATAGCTTTTCGGAAACACCGATATAGATGCGAAAGAATTTCGCTCATCGCTGGAGAGACTGCCCATTCTTTGTCATTTATCTCTATTATCTGTGTCAAGAAAAGAAAGAGGATATCTTTTTTTTTGACACTTGAAGATAAACTAGGAGCGGTATAAATTGGGTTTAAACCGGTGAATAATCACTAGCTTTGAAATCGTTGACTTATTAACTCGCAACAAGAACGAGATTGCTCAGATGATATTACATCCTTTTAGAAATATCGTTCTTCGTATAATTATTCGTTTGTACATGTATCTTAAGTTAAACGAGATAGGCAAAATACTAAACCGATGTACTCGTTCAAAATGTCCGATAGTAATTCATTAGATTAGCTCAATGTGGCCTTCCTTAAATGTGTAACCCATTGTGTGGTAGTAGATGTCTTAAAACTTGAATATTTCGTATAAGTGCCATGCCAATTAAATCGCATGCAACACGCGAGCTTTACATTTACATGTGTGTATATATATATATATATATATATATATATATATATATATATATATATAAATGTTGATAGCAGGGAAAATAGAGGAAGGCGCATTGAAACACTAGGATACATCCAATGAACGATTTCGTGCTGGTAGAAATACGATATAAACAAATTTTCGGTATTCTTTCTATTTGTGTTTCTCAAAGCCACAGAAATGTCATCAGGCCCGATAGATACAGCAAACGCCAAGAGAATAAATACGACATATGTTAGAGATACACACTTCTGCCGTGTGTATGGCGCACGGTATTTCAAAATTTATTTTTTAAACTCGGTGTTTCAAGCGTTCCCCGTTTTCTCCTTCTAGATTTTCATTACCGACATCGTTCCAGATGTACTCTTACGAATACAGAAGATACACATATGTAATACGCACATACGCGAGGTATGACTGCATTACATCGACAGGTATACGCACAATGACATTAAACCACATTCATATATATATGTAATGTTAATTTGCACGTTTGCTTTTTCGTGATAATTTTGCATATTTGCAATGGATATTAACGGTCAAAAGTTTGTATCATTTAATTTTTAATCAAATAACGAAGTAATTGGAAACGTGTGCGTAAAGTCATACTTTTTTGATTTTTTTCTTTTTTACTTATAGAATTTTCATTGTGTATTTTTCCGAAAAACGAAGAACTTTGATTTTCTTCATGCATTGTTTTGAATCCATATTTTTAAATGAATGACGAAATGACTTCCTTTTTTTATAATTTAGTAATGGATAATCCTTAATCTTTTTGAGAAAAGAAAAAAAGAATACATCGAGAAATATTTCGAGAGCGAATAACAACTTCAATTATCTCCCATCATGAATGATTTTTCTTCTGTTTTAACAACGCGATTCATAATGCACTATTATTTAGTTACCATCTATTTCTCTTCTTCACGAGTAGAACATAAAGTGTGTTGTAAACACATTATCATAATGCTGCATCCTTAAAAGTGAAAATACAGCATAAATATGTATTTGACAATCCCGTTTAAATTGCATGTGATATGTATTCAATACTTAAATGTACACACACACATACATCCACATCCACACGCGCACACATACACATGTACATACACACATATGTTAAAACTGAGATAATCAAGTACTATGTCTACGAAGTAGGAGCAAAATAGTGATGTGATTCTGATAGACTTTCTATGAGGCAAGAATTGAAAGATGCGGAATAAGAGTGAAATATAAGTTTGTAGCTAAAATGGTTAACTCTAAGTATGTAGAGATATTTAAAACATACTTTATAACTATAATGGGCTTGCAAAATACTCTTGTTTCCATAGTCCAATGAAATGGATGTCTAGTAAGACATGGATGTAAAAGTATGACAAAACGTACGCTTTCTCATTTCGGAGCCATTGGGTTTACATTGGTTAATCTTGTTCTAAGCAGATACGATATGTGTACGTACAGCTATCTTTGACAAATGGTATTTTCGCATCTTACGAGTTATAATTATCCGAGGAATTGTATTCGAGAAAATGTGGAATGTCCTTAATGGTTTTTCAATCATTATAATATATTCAGCTCTTCAAAAGTCGGTTATTTTCATATATATCCAACTTTATATCTTGAATCAATCACACAATCTCTCTCTCTCTCTCTCTCTCTCTCTCTCTCATTTATTTCCAAATGTTATTGTAACAAAACATGACAATTGAAGAGTTTATTTCCAGATTATCTTAGAGATATAGAAAAAGAGAGGACTAAATTATGTGCTTACGAACTTACAATACTTATTGGCGAAAGACGATGTCGTTCGTATGAAAGAAGTATGCCACGTATCGTATATGTTTGTGTATGTATATATGTATTGGGTGAGTGCAAAAGTTCGTGCGGAGTTTGTGAGTAAAAGTCACACAGTGATTAGGCAAACAAAAATCTTTGTTCAATCAATGATATTATTCTCCATCGTTTTCTATAATCTTTTTCCAACGTTCTGGCAGCATACGGATGCCTCGATCATAAAAACTGCGCGGTTTAGATTCGAAGAACGAAGAGACGCCGTTTTTTAAGGCCTCCAAAGAGTCAAAGTTTTTTCCATTTAAATAATTTTGCAATGACCGGAACAAGTGATAGTCAGATGGTGCGATATCAGGAGAATACGGTGGATGCGTTAAGACATCCCATTTCAGGCTCTTCAGTTTGCGCAGCGTCTTTTTCGAAACGTGTGGTCTGGCGTTGTGATGAAAGACGACTCCCTTGCGATTTGACAAAATCGGACGTTTCTCTTTTATTTCTCGATTCAGATTGGTTAATTGGCGACAGTACTTGTCCGAATCAATCGTTTCGCCAGCGGGGAGAAGCTCGAAATAGATTATGCCCTTGCAATCCCACCAAACAGAGAGCATCACCTTCATCGGGTACAAACTGGCCTTTGGCATTGCGTCACCATGCTCACCTGATTGTTTCCATGTCCGTTTGTGCTGAACATTGTTGTAGAGGACCCATTTCTCATCGCCCGTCACTAGTCGATCCAAAAACGACTCGTTATTGAGCCGCCCGAGTAAAGAAACGGCTGCAGAAATTCGCTTGATTTTGTTCTTCTCGGTCAGCAAATGGGGCACCCATATATCGAGCTTCAAATCGAATTCCATCTTTTTTAAACGCCGAAAAGCGGTTGATCGGTCAACGTTTAGTGCTGTAGCAACTTCTTCTGTTGAAATTCGCGGATTATTGAGCACTAAAGTACGCAAAACATCGTCATCAATGTCAGAAGGTCGACCAGAGCGTGGCTTGTCTTCAAGGTTAAATTCTCCGCGCCGAAATTTAGCAAACCATTTTTCCACAGTTTGTTTAGCTGGTGCTTCATCCTGATAAACATCCTGAATGTTTTTTACGGCTGCGGCAACGTTTATTCCCTTCCGAAACTCGTAAAGCGTAACATGCCGTAAATGCACCTTATCGATACTCATTTTTAAAGTGATATTTCTCGAAGCAGTTTGTATGAAAACAAATGATTTTTTTTTTAATAACAGCTGAAGACGTCATCTTTCCAACGTTATATAATATGTAGATGGAAGTATTAATGACAACACTTTACGACGCTTATAACTCCATCTATTGAAACTCCGCACGAACTTTTGCACTCACCCAATACATATATATATGTCGCGTCGTGCAGGAAAACCATATTTAGACATTAAGTGTGCCGCGCGTGTGAGTTATATATGTAAATAGGAGAAAAAGCGGTGTGTCGTAATACAATGCAGCCGAAAATATGGAAGCAATTGACCAATGTTCGAAGCGCGAGACTTCTAAACTATCATTACCATGTTATGTATACTATAGAGAGAAACTTAAGGCGAAGCTTTCAAATGAACATACTCTCTCCTGTAAGCAGGTGCTCACGATAATGAATTTTCGATACTTAGTATCGTAAAATTCGTCTTATCTCCCGTTGTAGCGGTTGCAAATCTCCTCCGTCATGATAGGTGAAAGTATTTCTGAGCCGCTTGTGAAGGATTAGCATGTTTAGTCGACAGCAGCGGTGTTTATAATCGTGAGCGCGACATACATTCACGATACTGTCGTTGCTGTTATAATAGCGCGATTTGCGTATGTAAATTACTTTTTTAATTGTTTTTTCTCGACGTCTTGTTCTCGGAAAGACTCGAGCGAGATTGCCAATACGTAATATGCGCGATTACTTCGCAATTCTCTCCTTCGTGAGTTATGCGCGGACGCACTAATGATCACGCGACCTGACTGTTCGGTCGCGGCTTTCACAGTCATAAAATGGCAGGAGTTTTCGTAATAATCAGTATTTATATATTGAAAACTGAGATCTGTTGACTAATATTTAAAAAAAAAGATTTTAACGAGTTTGTTATCTTTCTCATTTTTTTTCTTTTTGTCGAATTAGCTGTTTCAATTATTATTAAATTAATTGAGTTTAAGTTCAGTTTTTTTTTTATATACGTACGTATCGTACATATCGTACATATCATACGTAACTTCGTATAATTAATTTATATAATTGTTTAGTGTTTTTATTCACATTGTATTGTTCCTAAATAATATATAGAAATATTTTATGCGTTGAACTAATACACACGACTAGTCGGGCGTGTAACATAGTAACGAGGTCCTTATCGGCTTATTCAGCGGTTTGTTACGTGTTTTTTGTTCTTCCTGGTAGCTAGGTAACGCACTGCCGCTTGAATTTGCCTAATTAACATTAACCAAGTCTAGATGCAGCGAAACCGAAATCAAAGCGGGTCCTCGTGCTATGCTTACTGCGAATTTATTACAATCATATATTTTAGCATAGATATTGTTTATTATATGTAGAAATTCACTATACGTTCACTTAATGTAACTCCCGACTGCTATCTCGAATGTCGCACTGATACCACAACACCGTACCTTGAATATTAATAATAATAGTTATAGAGATCACACAGCGTGTACATATGAATATCTGAGAAAGCTTTCGTTTCGTTAAGCAAAGAATAAATAGCGCTGTGTCGAGATAACGATCTCTGTTAAATAGCACACGGGCTGAGCATCGTGCGCTAACTATGCGCGCATTATAATCTTATATGTATTCAGTGTAGTGGACGAATGTGTAAGATAAACGGTTAAAATATTGCGAGTGACAACACGATAACTACGAAACGAAAGTCGAGGTATGATGTTTATCGAGATGTACAGTGTATCGCACTTGAATCGCATTATTTTTTAAGGCAATTTTTTCCAGATTTATTCTTAACCAATATATAGTCGAGTTGCAAGACTGATTCTTATTCATTGCTACTTTTGCTTAATTTTGTATGTTCCAAATTATATATATTTGCAATTAAATATCGAGGTATGCACATGTAGAATTCTTCATTGGAGTTTCTTCAAGATTAGAAAAATATGATATTTAGTCCTTTTCCTCTTCTGAAGAAAACGCGATTTGTTAGGGAGCTTCTTTTTTCTGTCGATGATAAATTATACGGTTATCTT